CTACACATCTCTTTCATTAAACGTTGTGTAATACTTTTATTAACATTAACAAATAACCCATAATCATTCAATATTGAATCATAACTGTTTTATATATATAACACTGGCAGACCTTGGAAGGAAATTGCATACATGTGCATTGCAATAATACAAACATTCATGTTTACAAGTAAAAGCCCTGACTATAAAATCTAATCTATATTTTTTGTTTGGAATGAGGTCATCCAGCCACTGAGAAAGAAATGTCTATTTCTGTAACCAGGAAGATAGTAGCGCTTACAATAAACAACAAGGCTTATGCTACCGCAGATTTACTCAACAGAATTCATCTGCTTTCTGTCTTTAAGCCATTATTTATCTGCTACTTCCACTAACTAAGATTATATATTTGACATAGATGCAGATAATTTGCTTTTACATGCCTGATTTTATAAGTAACCTTTTAATAATAGAAAATAAATTATCCCATGCAGAATGCAGTTTATTCTGGTTCTCTTATTTCCGCTTGATCAAGTTGAGTTACACAACAGTTGTGTGGATATTTTAGAATTAAATAGGTAAAGCAGGTATCTACTAGATGTTTCCAGTCTTATCTCAAATATGTTATTTACATGTAAGCAGATTATATAAATAGGCCAACAAACAAACAACTCAACACATGAAACAAATTACTTATGCACATGCCATTTTTTTTGTATTCAATTGATATTATATTTAAAGAAATTTGACTGTATCTTTTCTCATATAATCAAAAGAGAGAAAAGAAAAAAATGACAGACAATTGGATGTATACATAGACACATAGCAGTTAAAGTCTCCCAAGCAGTACATTTTTATTCTTTTGCAGGGAATCCACAGTGGCTCAGTGAGTAAGACGTTGACTCGCTATCCCGGAGGTTCCAGGTTCGATCCCTACATTGGCTGAGAAAATTCATCAGGATTTTGCATCCTTATTAGTGGTGCACGATAGAGGGCTTGGCAAGGGACAATGTACATGTATAATCCTTCGGAAGGTACGAAAAGCTGATGTCCGGTGTACACATTGGCATGCACGTAAAAGATCCCTTTGCAGTTGGAATTTGATATAAAGAGTAGGCTGTAGTTCCGGTGTCCGAGCAAAATTTCCCTCACAGCACACTGTATGGCACTAAACCCTATTTCAATTTTCATTTCATTCTTTTGTAGGTCATGGGAGATTTTTCCAGACACAATATACAAGGGCAACAACCTATTAAGAAATTATCAGAAATATATAATTTGGTGGAATCTTTCCTAATGCAAGCCAAAACGAAACAAACTAGATCTGCCAGGCAGATATGAAAGCTTTCATATTCACGGCCACTTCCTGTCACATGTCATGGGTTATAAGCTTAAAAATAGCGAGAAACATTTCACCCACACGGAAAAATAATCTGAAAAACAAAGGGAAATCACGGAGACTTATATTGCTGTAATCGGATTGACTTCCTATTCCAGAAGTTTCAGAAAAATGGAAGAAGCCATTTAAAAACGGGAAAGATCAGAAAATGAAATGAAAATGGTGGGAAAGAACTCAAATATGGCAGGAGAGTATTGAAAAATTAAATTAGATAACTTTGGATGGAAATTATATTTTTGAAATCAGACTGACCTCAGATATTCAAAAATGTAGGTCAAATTAAGGAAATAACATGTCCTATAAACAACTTTGTCGGCACCAAAAAGTTCAAAGGCGAAATTTGAAATTTTGAAAAACCAAACTTTCAACCCCGATACCGGCTATCTAGAAATATATTTATTTCGGAAATAGGAGACGAAATCTCCAAACTACGGCCTATTGTGTTTCTTATAATGGCCGCTAACGTGAATTTTTCACTTTTTTCATATTCAATTTAAAATGGTGACGGTCAGTTGACCAAAATCAAAATTCTACTCTGCACATTTTTGTAGACATTCCCTCAAGGATTCAGATAATGTAACTCCCATGTCTGTAAGTAAAATATCGCAAAAGTCTTTGGGATTTTTCACGTTTCAAGGTGGTGGCATATTATGTGTACCCATCAATAGTGTCTTAGCTAGTACAGAATTAAATTTTCAAGGCAATCTGACTATATTTTATCGATTTTTGCGGAAATTTTGATCCTTAATTTTGAAAATAGTTGACTAATTCATGAAACGGCAGCCTATTTCGATTATTTTCAAGCCGTAAATGGGAATTTTTCACCCGTAAACAACTTTGTCGGCACAAAGGCAAAATTTGAAATTTTGAAATATTCAAGTGGGTAGGTCAAGTTTCAGAAAGATCCTATGGTTAGATTCTGAGATATAAGCTTGGCAGGAAAAACACAAAACAATAATAAGAATAATAATAATAATCTTAACAAAAACAATAAGCTTTCATATGAAATATGAAAGCTTAATAGTAAGTATATAGCTGTTCGAGAATTTTTTATCTTGTGAACATAACAGTAAACAATGTGCACATAAGTTTTAAGCCAACTGGATAACTGTAACCGTTAAGAGTGCCCACAAAGGGGTTATGGCAACACACAACCGCATTTGAATCTGGCCATGAAAAAAAGCAATGCTAATATATTGGGGAGTAATCTGAAGAACCTGACTCTTTCATTTCAATGACCTTTTTAATCAATAGTTTGTTGATTGATATATGGCCATTGGAGTGATGTACATGTATTCTAAAGTCAGGTGAATAGTCAGATATTTTGAACCTTGGCAGAATTAGAAATGACTTACGGTAATTGTTATTACCACAACTTGTAGTACTATCTTCCTGTGTATACAGGTAGCAGTAGATTATAATAACACCTGTACCATTACAAGGTTAAAGACCACAACTTCTATTATTTATATGTATATATCAGTTACCAGTAGAAAACAGAATCTGATTAAAACTCACATGGTATCAAGGTGTCTTTTGATCCGCTGAAAAGCGTGAATGTTGAACAAAAAATATTAACTGTAGATAAAATATGAAATCACATCGATAATAGTTTTCAGCTGATCAAAAACACTGCATGGCAGCATATCATTTCAGAAACCTGTCATGTCCGACAATTCTTATTGCTATTATTAGAATGGTTTCACAATTTCTTCTGCAGTTAAGAGATTTTGATGTAAGTTCAACTCACTGTCAGTTTTAATACAGCACAGACTCTAAGTAGATACATGTATTTATTCTGATTTTTGAAGTGCACATGAAGAGGTATGCAAATAAGCTATGTTAAAATTTTTAATCAAAATGCTGTTTTTCCTGTTTACAATGTGTATTCCAAAATAATTTTCATGTTTTTTTTGTTTTTGTTTTTAAAATTGGACCATCATTTTTGGACGGTAGACCTTGTAAATGCACTTAAAAAGGAACCGGATATACTGCAATAAATATTTATAGCCACTTGAAAATAAAAGATGTATAAGATGTGGATCATATTCATAATTAAGATGTTCACTTTATTCAAAGGCATAATTTAGATGTATCATACAGATCAAATGGAAAGTATTGACCTTTTTAGATGTCTTATCAAAGGTATTTAAAGTGTTTTGTTTCATACAAGTTTCCAAAAAGATACTCTTCATAGTCTTCTTTCTAAAAATAACACATTATAGTTATGCTGAATTGCACTGTTCATGAATCAAATGTGTCAGTAGTCTTAAATTTCTCTTTTTAAAATTTTAGCCCTGCGCACTCCTCTTTCATAAATCCTGCATATGCTACAGGAAAGAGTAGGCATCTTGAACTACTCTTGAACAGCTGAAACTTTTGTCACATGCCCTCAAAAAAATATACTAAACACAAAATGCCAATGGCCTAATGGCTAAAGAAAGCTACTATATGATGTGCATCTGTAATAATTTGTAAGCCAAATCTATAATCTCCATCAGACACAAAGTCAGCTGTCAACAGTATCATTTATTTTTCTGTTCAATTTAATCAAGACTTTAATATAAATAAGTTTTTAAAGACCTATAGTAGAAACCAAATACTGGAAAAGCCACTTGAAACTTATCATACCAGACATTATCATTTTCACAAAGTTCTTTAACCTATCCAGCTCATGAAAAACTTCAACACTAGTCAAACTCTAATATTACTATTCTTATCACATTTCAAATACTCAAATTCCCAAATAAAAAGTACAGCATAGAGTTTATATTCCTATTTCAAGATATTAACCATTTGAAAGTGGTATATGCTGGTATGACTTATGAGATGGTATGGTATCATGCATGACCCTATTTGAAGATATTATTCTCGGTGGAAGTGGTATATATGGTGATTTGAGAAGGCTATGGTATATCATGACTCTATTTAAAGATATTATCCTCAGTGCATGTGGTATATGGTGGTATGAGAATACTATGGTATATCTTGACTCTAAGATATTATCCTCAGTGGACATGGTATATGGTGGTATGAGAAGGCTATAGTATATCATGACCCTATTTTAAGATTATCCTCAGTGGAAGTGGTAGATGGTGGAATGAGAAGCTGTGGCATATCATGACTCTATAAGAATCTAAGTATGCCATAAAGAATATGATGTTGTGGAATTGTGTAGGTAAAGTTGTAAGCAAGCTCTTATTATAGAACATTATCACTATCACAGTCTTACTGTCATTAACAAACCTGATAGTAACCAGACAGAAGAAATGTCAATGAATAATACTGATTAATGATTGAATACTCATGGTGCTGCTTCATTTGTATTTCATCTTGTTTCCTGACAATTGAGGTGAATAAAATTTGGAATTTAAAGTGCAACGGATATGAAATGTAAAATCTAAATCTTCATCTATGGCATGTTCATGTTATTTTTATTTAAACTTAATAACTGTAATTGTCATTGGAAAGATACATGTAAGAGTGAAGCCTATGATGCATTTATTTCATAATGTAGTATTTGAAATGCACAATACAATTTATTTTAATACTTTCCAAAAATTCAAAATATCCATGTACTGTAAGCATCCTTAAACTGAATGTTAATGTAAAAATAACTTACACATCATTGAAGAGATAGGCTCGACCCTGACTCCCTTGAAAAGACTGAAATAAAAAAACAAAACACAAAACATATAGGTTTTGAGATAATCCCTTTAATGTACATTGGGCTAACAATGGCAGATATACTTTAATGAACTATAAGAAGCTATTTGAATTAATTTGTGTATAGATTCAGTCAATCAAAGTAATACAGATCGAACTTTCATTAATTAAACTCTTTGCCATTGCAGAAACATCAGATTGAATGACCTTTACCATTTATCAGGGGAAAGAGTTACGTATAACATATTATTACACAAAATAAAAATCTCGGTCAAATATTGATGGTCCTTTAACGTGAACTATTTTTATAGTTGTGATATTGATTGGTTTGGTAGACTTGATGACAACAAGGCTATATTTGTTCCTATATAAGGATCCTTACAATCCATGATCTAATTAAAAGATGGCTATTTTTATACTTTAATGGAAATGGCTCATAATTGCCAAGAGATCTAAAGAATATGTTTATGATCATCACCTTTAAGTTAAGACTTTCCAGTTCCCCATATCATGACGGTTGGTTTTAAATCACAGGGAATTGTACTTATTTGACTATCTATCATTTTAAAGTGCCTCCCCATCAGAGCATCGATTTTATTTTCACAAAAAATGGATAACTTTGTTCCAAGCATCTTAAAAGATGTTTAAAAACTATATCTTTCTTTTATAGCTACTAGTTCAAATCCTGCAGTTAGGATTTAATTGAAAGTTCTAGTACAAGAGATCTGAGAATTTCAGCTTCAATTTTGAACTGTTATCTGAACGTCTTATCAACAATATTATGCGCTTGGTGTTATCTCATGTTGAACAAGAAAATATCAATTTATTGATTAATTAAATTCTGGACTTTCAGTCGACTGAGACAGAATGATGGCCGTAATTCGTCTTAGAAACATGGTCTTAAGCATGGCCCAGAGCTTAAAATGTAATGATAATATCAATAAAATGATGACTCCATTGTAATGAAAATATGAAATATTGATATATTATACACTTTTTAAAGAACACGTTTCCCATGTTTCTTCCGAAGCAGTGATTGTTATACAAAATTTTAAGAGCATGAGGATCATTTTCAAATTCCATGTGTACCGGTACATGTATAGGGTACGACAAGAATCATTTTTATTACAGGTAGACAATGTACATGTATAACCACATTCAGTGTATAAAAAGATCTTTGGGTTATTATAAACAGGCATTTCAAGTTTCATCAAAATCGGGTGAAAATTGTGACCTCAATAGTGTCCACAAGCTAAAAACGTGATTTTTTGTACAGTCAAGGGCCATAATCCGTGAAGTTATGGTCCGATACATGCCAATATCGAAAGGAACCGAGATCTTTGGGAGATAGACCTATATTTCAATTTTCGTCAAAATCGGATAAAAATTGTGACCTGTAGAGTGTCCACAAACAAATTTGGAACGGACGGAGGCGACTGCATAATACGGGCACATGAATATGTGGGTGTATAAAAATTGTCCTAATACTGTACCTTTGAGATCAGTTCGTCGTGATTGGCTAGGTGAGCTCGGCAATGCACACAACTATATGTGCGGTGACATTTGTTTGGTAGATATTTCTGAAATGTTTTCACCATCTTTACGATATTTAGACATCAAAACGGGTAGGCGTATTCCAGTGCCAAAATTGCTTGCCTTTGTGTCTAATATTCTCTTCCAATCAGAGAAATTGATTTCTGCTACTCAAGACTTTTATTTTTTAAACATCTCTTCTATACCTGAAAAGTAGAATTCGTCAATAACTAATGGATCTTGGGAGAACAGGTTAAATCAAAGACCACTTAATGAAATAAAGAACTCTATTTTCAAATTTTTTAAAAACTGCAAATAAGCTGTTTTTCAAGTATTTTTATTGTATAGACCTACTTCAGTTGACATCAGACTAAGTATTCTATTGACTATTTAAACTAATTCATTATCTAATTAAGTGAGCAAGTCCTGAAATAAAAACAACTTAAAATTTAAATTGTTAATATGTAAAATTAGTTCAGAGCCAAAACGTTTGTGACAAATATAATATTTTGTTGCTATTTATAAAGCATAGACGTAACCAAGCTAAAGGTGTGACTGACGTCATTTGGGACAGGTACATGTATAGGATGCATAGTTTTTATATACATGTAGTGTTATTTTAAAGATGTCAAAAGCTTATTGTTTAATGTTTGAAATCATGCAAATTAGTATTAGTTTAGCTTATTACTCACTGCAACAACATTACATTAAAAAACATTCAATTCCAAATATATCTATATCGGTATATCCTTTAATCTATTACGCATTTCTTTATCAAGTTTATACACATGTGTTCTAGTTTTATATATATAAATATATATAAGGTTATCAGTACATATCAGACTAATGTATTTTGACTGACTGAAGAGTAACCTACATTGGTGTAGTTACACAGTAAACAATAACAAACCATTTGATCAACCATAACATAGCCTCAAAACTAGGTCGATATAAAGATCTGTCATGCCATACAGTCATAAATGTAAACATTAACAAACTATTAATGTTACTCAATTTTTCAAACTCACTGATCATCATTTGCACTTTTGGATAATATTTTGTGGGTAATCCATGCTAAAATGTACTCAAATTGATTATTTAACATTTATTTACTCAAGACAGAAAAAACAAAATATCAAAGATAATCTCCTGGCTTGGATAAAAAGAAACCCATCAAAAGAATTTAACCAAAGATCGCATAGGTGACACTGTCATGTTTATATAAATTCTGCAGTGGATGCCAAATGGTAATTTTCAATTCCTCATAATTTTTTTTATGAATACTGAACGGAATCATTTATTACTGATATTTCTTTTAGAGATTTAACTTTCACAATATTGTAGTTTGCGAGGGATGATGATCAACAATTTTGATTATATAACTCGATTATGAATATTTTTGTTAATAAAGAAACCCCAACAATATCCAATAATTCTTTACTCTAGCCACCAGTATTCCTGCAGTGGGGAATACTCTACAAGGGAGATGGGGAATGTAATCTGCCTGGAAACGTCATCACAAATCTCCCTGATAATTCAGTCTTGTACAGTTGTACTGTGTTCACATGCTTTAGAAATTGAATAAACCAGAATATAAACTTGGCAGTAAAATGGTTAATGAGTTTCAAATTTTTGTAATACATGTAACTTTAATTACTGAGAGGTTATACACATGACTTTGTAAAGCTTTACATATTTACTGCTAAGCTACACATACATCATATGTCACAGCAAATGTTATGTAAATATACAATGGTCAAAACTATGTATACTAAGATAGAAAGTTGAAAGAGATATAGTTAAAGACTGAATGAACACCAATGAAATACAACATGTAGTAGTATCAGAAATAAATCAAAGATAATTAGCTTATACATGTAGATACAAAAAAATTTGACTAGGACACTAATAGTTGTCCAGCCTCACAACTCTCAGATACAGATAGGTTGCCAGGCAACGAAACATACGGCCACAGCAGCTAAATCGTCCAGGCAGTTAACAAGAGTTTAATATACGAACCATTTAATATCATGGATTTAGCTGTTCAAGTTATCAAAATTCATTGAAAATCAATATACTTGTTCATCTCAAGACCTTAAACTCTGTGTATCAATCTGAAGTCAATCGGATGATAACATAAGCCTCTAGAGTGTCACAAGATTTTTCAAAGTGATCAAGGGTCATAACTTTGGCAGTAATTATCGGATATCATTGAAAATCAATAGGATTCTTCGTCAATCGGATATCAACTTTAGCCTCTAGAGCATCCACAAGATATTTTGAAGTGATCAAGGGCCATAACTCTGGCAGTAATTATCGGAAATTACTAAAAATCAATAGGCTTCTTTGTTTCATAACCTTAAACACTGTGTATAAATTTAAAGTCAATCGGATATTCACTTTGGCCTCTAGAGCATCCACAAGATTTTTTGAAGTGATCAAGGGTCATAACTCTGACAGTACAATGTAATTATCGGAAATCACTCATGACCTTAAACACTGTGTATAAATTTAAAATCAATCGGATATTAACTTTAGCCTCTAGAGCGTTCAAAAGCCGGACCAACGGACAAACCAACGGACGGAGGCGATGACAATATACGACCACATTTCAATGTGGGCGTATAAAAATGCAGCCTCTCCTTTTAACTTATAAATAAACTAATAAAAATCTTTAAACTGATTATTGGAATGTGAAAGGTCAGGATTGGCATGGTTTCCCTTTGTCAATGGTGCAGGATGCAGGGTCTGGCAAGGAACAGAGTCTAGTCTTTCGGCTGGGACAAAAACCAAGGTACCGTGTACATGTTGGTGTGCATGAAAAAGACAGTTTGAATTTGAAATAAGAGTACCATACTTAGGGTAGGCTAGTAGACTGAGGCATCACTGTCTGGACACAATTTTCCTCATAGCACACTTGGATGGTGTATGCCTGTCTTGAGAGGGGTTCACAAGTCCGCGGGTTCACTACTCCGCAGGTGCACTAGTGCGCAGCTATTAAAAATACTATAAATATGGGTATCAAAAAAAAAAAAAACAGCAGGTAATATCAATGTCGTTATGTTGCGTAAAAATGTTGTATTGCCCTGTTAAAATGTCAGCCATCTTCCGCTCAATATACAGTTTGATATGTGCACTGATCCTGGTGTTGGTCATATAAGTTCCCTGGAATTTTGCAGCGTGGTTTCTCCCCTTTCTGTAGTGCAGGACGAAGGGCCAGTGTCTAGTTGTGTAGATGGGACAAAAACACAAGCCCCTGTGTACACATTGGCGTGCACATAAAAGAATCCTTCACAGTTGGAATTTGATGGAGAAATGCCGCTGTCCCTAGAAAATTTCCGTCATACATGTAGCCCTCTACATATATAGCGTATGCCTATCATCAATAGTCCGTGCATGCGCTATACAGTGTACGTACTATGAGGGAAACTTTGGCCAGATAGTGGCGCTAAGCCGCTAACGGCCTACTCTTACATTGAATTCAATCAATTCTTGGAACCAGCGTTACATACTACTTTCAATGTGGGTACGTTGCGTACATACCATTGGTGTATTACATTTCATTGTCAGTTGGGGTTTACATTTCATTGTCACTGTGGGTGCATTACATTTCATTGTTTGGGTGGGTGCGTTAGTATTATTGTCAGAGTTCATTACAGGTGTGGGTGTATGTATGTTGGGTGGGCAAATGGTTAGGGTGTGCGCGCTGTATCATAAGGTCTGTTGTCATTGAGTCAACCGGTGTGGTTTTGATTCCCCGGTTGTATGTAGCAAGAGGAGTAGGGTCGCCAGTCCAACCTTGTGGGTTTTCTACGGGTCCTCCAGTTTCCTCCCACTGCTAAAAACCCCTATGTGTAATTGATTATTGAAATAAATTTGAACCATATGTCAGTTCCGAGATGACCTATTTTGTTTCGAGTGGACGTTAAACCCCATTTCTCTCTCTCTCATTACGGGTGTGCATTTACATGTGATCATCAATCGTAAAAAAAGGCAATAATAGATATCGGCGGAGTAGCGCGCCCACAGACTAGTGAACCCGTGGACTAGTGAGCATTCCCCCCCCCCCCCGCCCGACTTTATTAGCCTGTTAGGTGCACAACAACAGAATGTTACATGTAAACCCAATTTCTTTTCTTTTTGTACTTTCCGTAGAACATTTGACTTGCCTGACTTGTTTTGTACAATAATACAGGGCCCATCAATCAACCGGTGCTGGTTTAGTGTGACTGATTTTGAAACAAGAGCACCCAACTCCACTGACATTGAAAAATCCCAAACAAACAGGTCGGTTCTCACCTCACCCATAGGCGTACAGGCCGATTTTCATTGTGGGGCTGTATCATTTTTGCTTGAAAAATATGACGGCAGCATCCGTAAAATGGACCTAGATAACTTTACCAGATAGCTCCTGATCAACAATCAGTGAAATTCGCTAAGAACTAATATGCTAAGGCGGGGGACAATTAAACATGTAATACCACAACAATCTGAATCAAAATCGGTTTACAAGTACATGTATACATGTACAAAATATTAATCTGGCTGTGACAAGGGTTTTTAGTTAAGTGTCAAACATCATCGGACCAGATACATGTAAAGAACTTGTTTTCTAGAAAAATATATGGGATTGTACTTTGCAGTAATATACAGCAAAACAACCTAGCTAGTTTATTCTAAATAATCGTAGCACAATCTCGAAAAAATACCGGCAAGTAGCACTAGAACCAGTACAGTTTCAGTTTGAGAACTAGACACCCTGAATCAAAATCAGAATTGTGTGAATTTCTGAAACTCTGAACTCTGGTTGGGAACTGCATAAACCCACCCAATGGTCAGTAAAAGTCACAGATTTCATGGGATGGAATAATTTTCATATTTTTTCTTTTTTTATACATGTATCCACTAAAATTTTATTTTTTTCATCTTTTGGCCACTGCTCAAAAAATTTGATCGCCCGAAAAAAATTGTTTTGCACCCCAAGCCCCGCCTCGGTGCCTCCCCCAGCTCTTACGCCTATGCCCTCACCCTTGGTGCTTTATTTTGATTCTATATATTTAATTATAATAAATTTTTGAATCATTGAGTGATTTATAGACTATTGCTTGGGGCGTGTACTGTAAGCATGAGCTTAGATATTGTTACATGTAATTTAAATAGAACTTAACCCTATTAATTTTTATACAATACATGTATCTATAAATTTTATTTTTAATGTCCTGTATACTATCTAATTTAAATGCTTATATTCTCTATGCACATGTTGCTATGCACAACATGAGGTAGGTTACTAAAAATAGTTTTATCTTGGCTATAAAATCCTGAGTGAAAAGTCACATGGTTGACAGACCTACATTGTACATCCCAAAATGTAAACAGGATGAGACTTTCTTTAGTCTCTGTCTCTTAATATAGTATAATGGTATATTATGTGCATTTAAAATAAACCCAGAATGGAAAATTGTCTTTAACGTAACCAGAACATGCCAAAAATTGATCCTCAGAAGGCCAATGTTCTTGACATATTTAATTAGACTTTCTTTTGAGTCTAGATGTAACTTCCTTAATTTTTTTTACCATACAAATAAGGTAATTAGGAAAACAAGAAATAAATTTCCTTATCTGTCATCTTTCTCAAATTATTGAAAAGTACTAAGCCTATGGAGTAAAATGCTTATTTTTTTGAAGAAACAAAAAATTAATTGATTATATACATGTACATGTAGTACATGTAGTTAAGTACATGTCATATCCCAAGATTTTAATCTCATAGAAATGCATGTTATAAGTCAGGTACGCCAAATTGTAACTTTTTGTAAGCCTACTTAAAGGCACATTATGTAAGATTTAGATAAAGAACTGGGCGTTCTTGCTATAATAGTTCAAAATACAAAATGAATGAATATATTGAAAATTTCATTTAAATTATTTTATTCTGATCTGAACGAAGGTGTCAATGTTTATATTTTTGACAAGATGTGTGCATTGATTGTTTATTGTCGTAACCATGGTGCTGGTTATTCGAGATTTAGCCTCGCTTCTCCATCTTTAAATTAAATCGTTAAATGGCTGAACTGTTCTAATCAACTTGAAATCTGAGCCATCCCATGGCATCAAGAGTTTAGTATGATCTTGTCATGTTAATAAATGTTTAGTCTAATTAATAATTTATATAACATTTAAGAATTTAAGGCCTAAAGAAAGATCTGCAGTAGGCAGATTTAGCTCTTACAAAGGCTACTGTCTTTTAAACAAACTGGAATAGCCTAATGATCAATATCAAAATACAAATCCCTTTTAACTCAGATTATGTTAACACTAATAATTAACAAAACTGCTTCACTTAAGGCTAAGAAAAAAAAAGCAACAAGGCTCACCTCACTATCTGGTGTATTGACTGAATCTATAAGCTTAATATCTATCTTTAAAACTAACAAAGAAAATAATTGCTTGTGACATCACAGTATCACACACACATTCAGAACAAAGAGATAAAAAATAGAACGAAAATATAGCTGGCAACTGGGGCTTTCATTCATCAACCATCTGCTGGTTCAAATTATCTAATAAGGGAAATGTTCTTTGTCTAATGTGAATAGCTGCTAACATTTTTTTTAATTTATCATGTAATAAATCTAACCATCTTCAACCTATAAAGCTATTATTTTTTTTTATAGTACTGGATATGTGTTGTGTCAAAACAAAGAAAACGCTTCTCCCTAGATCATATTGATCACAAAACCAAAGTTGATAACCCAATAAATCACCAGACACGATAGGCCTACACTTATTCCTTTCCTGTTTTTGTCAATCCACAAGGAAAACCCAAAAGAATGTAGCTTCTCATTTATATATCTAATGAAAAAAATGAACAATTTGGCACGTTTCTGTCTGGAATTGGCAAGAATTCATTTCTCATAGGCTATTGTATTTGTTTTGCATTTCGATTTGACCTCGACTGGTGGGAAGTGGGAGCTTAGAGTTTCGAGCACATTTTGGGGGTTTGATCATACTTTTACGACCAAATTAACGGTTCCATTGGTTACTGTAATTCGTTAATTGGTTTACGAAGTTAATCATGTACGAATTAGGACCACTGTCAAGTTTCATACGTCGACAGACACGTTTGTTTTGATTCCTATCTTGCTGCTTTCTTCCTTAGTACAAAACGTGTCCTATTTTCCGTCAGCTGTCAGCTTGACGCGCCTTGTCAGATGGTGAAATAGTCTATTACTATTATATCGTCGCTTACCTTGACAAATATTCATATTCATATGTTCCTCTAGCTTCCAAAATAATCACTTAGAATTCCAAACACTAAAAAATAGAGCGCCACGGTGGAATTTGCAAACAGTGTCAGCTTTGAGTTTTCTCGTGTATAAAGTCAATGCCAGTCTGTTTATTTTCCTGCTGGCGGAAATACTGTGACGTTGGAACACGTGACTGTAAGAGCTTCACGGCAACACAAACAGAGAACACGTGGTACACCATTACAAGCAGACGAACTACAGAAGAGAAAACATCCACTATGCAAGGTAGTCTGAACACTAAAAGAATAACACAGTAAGCCCTGCACAAATACTGGGGATCTTTACCAAAAGGCGTTTTTTTTTACCAGATTTATCACAAATACTGAAATCTCTACGAGAATAAGTTTGACCGAGAGAAAAAAAAGATAATAATAATCCTTGCTTGATTGATAAATGAAATGACAATGACAATGTATTGTAATTGTATATTTACCATAATAAATATATAGATGTCCAGATAAGCACGCCCACCGTTAATTTAAAGACGTTGCGAATTTTATTTTATAATGGACAGATATTTATAGGCTAAACAACATGGGTAAATCGAAGTATGGCCAAGATGCTAATTATCTACGCTGTTTTAATAACGCCTATTTTGATTTTAGCAAAAACTAGCGTACGATAATAGAGAATTATTATGCAATTATTTTAATTTAAAATTAGATAACTAAGAGAGAACTCAGAAAGCCAGAGAGAGAGAGAGAGATCTTTACGCATAATTGAAAGGGAATTGATTATCTATACTATACTACGTGATAAAAAATAACTTTTCTGGATTTGGCGATCTGTCCTATACGGTAGGCCTGCTAAACCTACGATGCTGAAAATTTCTGAAATTTCTGAATTTGGCTATCTGGGGAAAGTGGTAGAAAATGGTCGACTTAAAGCGATAATTTCATATTTTCTAAGAAAGTCAAAACATAATTAGTTCTATGTCTTTTGCTCAATAGGTTATCAACTCACTATTATACGACCATGGGCATTATTTCCCACCCTTAAAAATCATTGACACAGGAAATAATAACACAATTACCTCCCTTGTTTTCCTATTGCCTCCATGCATTAGCTACTTTCAAACGTTGGAATTTGAAGTTGAAAATGATATTTTTGCCAATTTCTCAGCTAGCAATAGTGAATTATAGGATTAATAGGATTATTCTTTAACAAGGTATAAGGACGGTTTATGGATACCATCTATTTTAAGGCTTTATTTTAATAAATTTTAAAATATAAGGTTCACCTCTTACTATTAGTATTACTAATGTTTAGTGTTTTGATGAATACGTGTGCCCCATTAGTTGATAAACACCGTGAATTAGTCTAGGGTAGTACGAAACTTCCATATTAATTTGAACAGGTCAACAAAATAGATAATAGGTTTAGTGGTCCATTTTGTACATGCCTTTGGAAATGAAATGAAATGGGGTTTAACGTCCTACTGTTCTGCTCCGAACCTGGCTAATGAAGACGGGCATCAAGCGACGATTTTCGGCCTAAGTATTCATAATTTGAGTTCTTAAGGCACTCACATCAATTATCACGATATACTTTTTTTTCATTATCGCCCAACCCTAGCATACGCCATACAGTGTGCTATGAGGGAAATTTTGCCCGGACAGCGGCACACGGCCTACTCTTATATCGAATTCCAACTGTCAAGGGATCTTTTACGTGCACGCCAATGTGTTCACGGGACCTGGGTTTTTCGTCCCATCCGAACGACTAGACAGCTGTCCTTGTCAGACCCTCCGTCCTGCATCACTGACAAGGGGAGAACCACGCCGGAAAATCTGGATGAACTTTTTCTCGGCCAATGCAGGGATCGAACACACGACCTCCACCTGGGCTAGCGAGCCAGCGTCTTACCCCCCACATGCCTTTGGCTTTGGGTAAAATGGTTCAGCATGGAAATAAACGAAAACCTCTCTATTCAAAAGTCCAAAGTCATAGAAGTTGCATAATTGTATTCAAAATGGGTTATATGACATACAAGTTGCTTAACTGTTATCCATGCTTGTTCACTAAAAAGTGGAAAAAACTACTGACGCTAGTGACAGACGTTACTAAAGCCAAGTTAACCAGATCTAGTTGGTGGTTGGGGAAAATAAAAGAACAAAACCGGGGTTTTAATTTATTTTAACACCATTAATGATGAAATCATTCACGAGCTGACAAACAGAATTCGGATGTGAAGATCGGCAACTCCTGCACGGCCATGAGCATGTGCCCATCGAGGACGTGTGCGGTCACTACGGTGTAGGGCCTAGTGCACCGAACCCACTCTTAACCCGCTATTAAGCTGTAGGCATCTGTACAAACAAAACGATTCGGTGATTCACCATTTTGTTCCCAGGAATCACTTGAACTAGAAACATGGATTCACTTGAACTGGAATATCTGTATGGGGCAGAATGACACAGGGGTCAATTTACTATTTAGTACAAATGAAAGGGTCCATTTGATTTAGCCAACTTAGTCGAAAATAAAAATGGCCCTGCTCTAGCCTAGCCGATCAAACTGCATTAGAATTAGTTTATTAACAAAGCTTTATCGTATGAAAAATGGTTTCCGAACGAAATTTTTAAACAACGGCATGCTATCTACAATTCATCGTCAGATAGATAAGGAAACGGCAAAACTTTCTCTGCACAGTTCGTCATGATGTTAACGTTAAAGGACGTTATGTTCTCGACTACTTCGGCTTTATTTTCCAGTCACCTTATCTCAGGAAAGTATATAGGCTTTACGGGTCCATTAGACCGGAGGGGTCCATTTTGTACCACTTTCCCCAATAGTATATGTGCACAGATGTGACAATTCAGAAAATTTCAGAATTTGGCGATCTCTATAATATACGAAACTTATAATTCAGAAAATTTTAGAATTTGGCGATCTGTATAAATATATATGCACAGATGTCACAATTAAGAACATTTCTGAATTTGACGATCTGTACAATATATATGCACAGATGTCACAATTCAAGAAATTTTTGAATTTGGCGATCGGTATAATATAGGCCTACGAAGCTCATAACTCAGAAAATTTCTGAATTTGACGATCTGTAGCCTATATGTGCACAAATGTCACTATTCAGAAAATTTCTGAATTTGGCGATATACGAAGCTCACAATTCAGATAATTTCTGAGTTTGGCGATCGGTATAAAATACGAAGCTCAATGTGATCTAGCTATATCTCCCACAGGTGGACAGTATATAGTAAACAACATGGCATCAGACTTAGATGAGCCAAAGCCACTGAAAACCACAGAATGAAAGCGACCAGAGATGGGATTTCATCCATAAAGGGGGCATCATTGGTTATTCCTATCCATTATTGTTTTTAGGTCCAGACATGCGCCAGAAATCACCATGAACACTGCAATTTTCCAAAATATTAAATTTGGGGTGTTGGGGGCGGGGGAATGAGGACTGGTACAGGTATTTTTATTCCACATGAAACCATCAACATACAATTGAACACACAAATAGAATGGATAACAATTTTATTTAAACATGCATAATTCAAGAGCTAAATCTGCCTATTGCAGGTCTTTCTTTCGGCCTTAAATGTTATCTAAATTATTAATTTATAGACATTAATTACCTTATCAAAACCATAATCAACTCTTGGCGCCATCGGATAGCTCCGGTATTTAGTAGATTTGAATACGTTTTATGGTTAATCAAATAACCATAAAATGGATAATAGTCAATATCTCGACCAAGGTTGAAGTAATCTGACTGAAATTTTTAGCATATTGCCTTTTTCATTATGTTTTAACTATTATAGCGAGAACTCTCAACTCTTTATCTAATCTTAACTAATAAAACCGCAGTCCCAAAATAAATAGATGACACATAAAAATTAATTGCACTTTTATCTTTTTTGAAAAGTACCGATTGGATGTTACGGAAAACCGTGGCGCATCAAATGTGCAGGACGGAAGACCTTGCACGAAAAACACAGGTCACCGTGGTTCCCCATTGTCAGTGGGGCAAGACGTCTGTACATATATATTATACAGACATTTTCTGAATTATTATTATTATTACAGCATATTTACAGTGCGCCCTTTCATATAAGATGTTCAGGGGCACTTTAAAAATTGACAATGTAACCATAAATAAACAAGATAATGGACATGTTAACGATTGTATACAGAGTCAGTTAAAAGCCTGATTAAATAAATGTGTTTTAAGTTGTTTTTTAAAAAGAATATAGAGATGTACAACATCTTAAACTAAATGGTAGATTATTCCATAAAACAGGTGCTTGATAACTAAAAGAGCGCTGACCATAAGAGACTAGTTGAACAGTCTTCGGCTTTAAAAGTAGTTTATCTGATGTACGTAATGTTCGGCCAGGTGTATAAAGTTCTAAAAGATCTGAGAGGTAAACAGGAGCTAAATTTTAAACATTTAAAAGTAAGTAATACAATCTTAAAATCAATTCGATATTTAACAGGTAACCATTATAAATTGTATATGTGGTTATGTGGTCACATTTCTTAGTTAAAGTAACAAGTCTAGCTGCAGTATTCTGTACTTGTTGTAATTAACTATAAGCTTTAAAGGTAAACCAACTAAAAGTGAATTAAAGTTATCTAATCGAGAAGTGACTAGAGAATTAACAAGTGACTTAGTGGCCTCTACAGTAACAAATATACGTATTTTACCTATATTTCTCATATTAAAATAGCACAATTTATAAATATTATTTTCTTGAGCTCCCATAAGCATAAAACTATCAAAGATTGCGCCAATATTACGAGCAGAATAAGATGAAAATATATCACAATTACCAACTACAACAGCGGGGTTATCATGTGCAAATTATTGATGCCTTGATCCTAATAACAAATATTCCGTTTTATCATCATTCAATTTTAGAAAGTTCTTTGACATCCATTTTCTAATTTCACTAATACAGTTCTCAAGTTGCAATTTTGATAAATTGAAAGAAGATGGACAATTAGGTGTAAATGAAATATATAATTGATTATCATCAGCATACAAATGAAACCATAGACCATATTTACTGACAATATCACCTAATGGTGACGTATAGAGGGTAAATGAAATCGGACCAAGAACAGAACCTTGAGGAACCCCAGATGA